CAAGGATCAAGGCATCCTGCACGATATGAGCCTCCTGCTCACCCGCATCCTTCTTTGGTGCTTTACAGACTGAAGACATATGGCCCTCCTGGCCGCAGTTCCAACACTTCCCTTTGATAGACCTAACCTTCGAGTTCGGCCTCTTCTTCACTGATTTCGACCGATTCCTGTTCTGGTTCCCTTTCTTCTGGCTTCTGCCTCTCTGCTCGAAACTTAGGGCTGAACCTGAACCTTCTGATTCGGACGATTTCCTTCTAACCTCCTCGGATAGAATCATGCTAACAACCTCATTCAGCTTCAACTTCTCTTTCCCCGCCGAATTGCTGATTGCCGTCACACAACCTGCCCAACTATCCGGCAACTACGATAGTAGTAGAAGGGCCTGCACTTCGTCATCGAACGTGTTGTCCACGGAGATAAGTTGATCAACAATCGTGTTGAACTCGCTGAGGTGCATCGTGAAGGACCGTCCTTCTGCCATCTTGAGGTTAAAAAGAGTTTTGACTAGATGCACCTTGTTTGCTGCCGACGGTTGCTCGTACATCTTCGCGAGCGCTTCCATAAGCTCCACCGTGGTCTTCTCCTTCAGAATATTGTGGGCTACTGATTTGGCGAGCGACAACCGGATTTGCCCTAGAGCCTTCCTATCTAGTACCTCACAATCACCATCTGACTCCTCTTTCTTCTTTCCCTTTTCCTTGCCCAACAGCGGGCGATACAAGTCCTTCTGGTACAGATAGTCCTCCAAATCCGATCCATCGAACTTCTCAATCTTTGCGTCGAACTTCTCAATCTTTGATTTGCTTTCCTCTGCCATGGCTTTCACACAAATTGCTGAACGAAGCTCTGATACCAGTTGTTGGGGATTCGAAACAATCAATCGAACCCTTGCCCTTCCGGACCTTGTGTTGAAAGAAACTGTCTGGACGATTCGCGGTCGACCGCCGTGCCAAGGCCGGTCGACCGGCCAGAGAAAAATCTGTTTACAGGGTCCTGTGCACATTTGCGGTCGACCGCAGCGGCCACGCCGGTCGACCGACCAGAGCGTCAGAAACTTCTCAGTTTCCTGCAGTGCACGCGGTCGACCGGATCTGCCACTGCGGTCGACCGCACAGTCTTCTGACTGTTTTCTTCGTCTTTTCGATTGCAGCTTTGGGTCTACACACTTAGACTAACACAAACTTCTCACACTAGAAATCACTCACAGCACTTTCAACGTATGTAGCACGGACACGGATCCGACACGGCCATCCGACATGCCGACACGAGGCAAATCCTAAAAAATACATAGGATACATGTGTTCGACACGTGTGTCCGACACGGACACAACACGACACGGCTTCATGTTATGCGTGTTTGTGCTTCATAGCTTTCAACTTATCCTAGAACAGCATCAGGATCATCCATCGAAGAACGCAACAATAATACAAAAGCAAACCTGTTTATTTAAACCATCAATACCTGCGGTGTGCATGCGTCGATACAATAGTCAAAGACTTTGTTTGTTCGTGCAAATACAAATGTTGGTAGAGCACTGAAGAGTCCCGCTCAAAAGGTTCGAGGTCGACGGCGACGACGATGACGACGCTGATTTTTCCTGTAACTCTAATATTTATTTCTTCCCCCCTTTTCAAAATTTTTCCTGCAACTCGATCAATTTTTAGCTCGGGTAGTTGGAATTTCCCTTCGTGACACCAAGCGTTTTTTTAAGGCTACATAGCGCTTTAAATAAGGACAGGTTTCGTTTGATGACCAAATACAGAAATTTTAACTAGTACACGCATAATGTGCTCTTATTTCTTTATTCAACAATCGCATAATGGTGTTGTTCTATGAGGAAGAGAAGGCTCCCTTACTCATATAATACAATGGTGGGATGCTCTGCTCATTCCTGAAAAAGTTCATAGGATCGACCCTCCCCTTCACAATAGCTAGCTTCTCAAAATTACCCTTGAAATACCTCTCCCCCCACTGCCGAGCTTCAAAATAGCTCGGCATCAGCCCTTCGGTCCTCCCCAAATCGACATCTTTGTAGCTGTAGTACGCTGTTCGCGGATTGCTTGAAATATATGGAGTCATAAAATCATACAGTTTCCTCATTGAATCCAACTGTCTCTCGCTCTCCTGCTCATCAGTCTCGAACCATCTCATGAAATACTGAATGTTGTATAAGTTTCCTTTCCTGTGAGGGAACGGGATTGTCGATTCTGGGATCATGTTCATTATTCCTCCGAATGGTTCCATTATCAGCAATATAGTGATGTAGTCGTCTTTGAGGTTTCTAAGAGCCCTCCATATCTCTCCCCATTGTTTCTCAGTGATCAGGCTTGTCACAAAGTCTGATTTTCCCTTGAATGAGCTGTTGAACTCCGGTGTCCGGTTCAGTAACGCTTCGATCCCTTTACCTGACATACCGTACATGAAGAGAGCGGATTCTAACCAGTTCATCTCTGTAAAGTCCTCAGCCTGAAGGCCAAGCTCAGGGAAGTTTGTGTCTATTGCAGAGACGAATTGGCTTTTGTTTCCAAGGAAAAGGGAGATGAACTGAACTTGAATGTTCACATTCCATATGGACTCACTGTCGATTATGGGTTGCACAACGGCTCGGAGAAAGATATTCTCATCCAATTTAGGAGCAATGTCTTGCCACCTGCTCACGTTGACAATTGCTCGTGTCAATTTAGCCCGAACATAATTAATTTCTGGGGGATCAAATTTGAACTTACCTTGTGACAAGATTAGTCGCATTCTGCCCTAAATTCCTGTAAACATTGAATGCAGTAACAACAGGAGGAACTTCAACCAGTTGAAGTCTGTAAGCCAAAACGATCCCGAAACTGGCTGCTCCTCCGCCCCTTATGGCCCAAAACAGATCCTCGCCCATCGTCCGCCTGTCCAAAACCACACCACTGGTGCCCAAAATCTTGGCATCGATAACATTATCGGCAGCAGTACCAAACTTTCTCATCATTGCGCCAAGTCCACCACTACTTAAATGCCCACCAGCCCCAACAGTTGGACATAGTCCTGCTGGAAAACCTAGAGTACCATCACTCTTGGTGAACACGTTATAGTAGACCTCGCCAAGAGTTGCTCCAGATTGAACCCAAGCTGTTCGAGTCTTGGCATCGACATCGATGCTTCTGTAGTGTGCAAGATCAACGACCACCAACGGCCGTTTTTTGTCGTCAGATACATATGACATGCCCTCATAGTCATGACCACCGCTCCTCGTGCGTAGCTGTAGGCCATACATGTATGCACATCTGATTGTTATGTTTACGTCGGATGTAGAGTTTGCTGTGACAATTAGTGAGGGCTTTTGATTGGTTTTGGAGACTAAGAAGCGCAAGTTTTGAACAGAGGATTGGAGTACGGATTCATAGGAGGTGGAGTTTGAAGTGTAGATGAGGTCTGGAGAGATATGTTGTAGAAAGCAACCGATGAAGGATTTGAAGGGAGCAGTGTAAGAGGATTGTGCAAAAGATGAAGATAGTAAGAAGAGAAAGGAGAGGATGGTGAGGATTGTTGAGGTTGATATCGCCATTTTTCTTGATAAGGGGTTGTTTGATTGTGTTATGGAGATTTGTACCGTGGTTTATATAGAGATGATGAGAGTTCAACGGTTTAACTTAATTCATACTGTTATTTGGGGTCCATAGAAAAGCGTCACAATGTGATGCTCCTTATTTCTTGATAAAATGTTACCAGATCTATTTGACACTTTTTATCTTCTAGTAAAGAGTTTGAGTTGCTCATCTTTGGATTAAATCAGCACCTTAGACTGAGTTCAGCATCATCGTTTTCACTATTGATCCTCTCAGTCATCACTCATATTGGATCCAACATCATGATACATGTTTTCAATGTCATGAGAGCAACAGAGATGAATTTTGCAAACTGTGTGGTCCTATATATACTTTTTGGGTTTTTGTTTTTTGTCTTTAATGCCTAAGTTTTATTCTGATACTGACTTTTCTTTTCCATTGCATATTCTATGAAATTCGAGAAAAATGTTTTCGTATGTGTTGCCTGCTTTTTCTTGATTAAACTATTGAACAGTCATCAGCAAGAGTAGAAGACCACTGCTAGTATAACTTAAACTTGGTTTAACGTAAGAAAAAACTTGACAAAAGGCTGTATAGAGATTTATTCAAACACATAGATCACTTGAGAAAGGGAGCGAAAAATTTTCTGCCTTCTAATTGTTGCGTGGTTCGCAAAACATTCGTTTACTTAAACGGTTAAAAAAAACACAAACTCAGAAGAGTTGTAATATGGAAGTAGAAATTTCTAAGGGTGTCTGTATTAATTTTTTAAAAACATTAAACAGTGAAGTAGTAACTGTAAGATAAAAACTTATGAAGCTCTGATTTCTAGTTTCTGTAAATCCCTTCTATGAGCCTTTGGCTTCTCAAACTTTTTTTTTTAATCGGGGAGCTAATACTGTATCTCCTAAGTAAGTTCTCGTTTACACGTCTTGATATTGATAAAAATCATTCCTCAGAAATATTTTTCCTTCTTCAATTATCTCTTTGCCTATTATATATAAATTTCCTTTTGACAGAGAATAATGTGTTCGTTACATAATATTAGGTGGTAGTTGAGCAGCATGTCATTTCTTAAATTTTGTAGACATGCAAACCCATCGGCTTCATAGCTGTAGGTCCACTTTCTACGAATTAATCACCGGAAACCAAATCGTATCACGTTTCTGCACGAGATACTTTGACAAGTCACAGGGCTCTAGTTACTTGTTTATCCTTCCATCCCCTCTCAGTTCATCAACTGTTTGTATAAATTAATGTTCACTGTCACTCTTGTTCCTGTCACGGCAGCTCAACGACTAATTAATAAATTAATATTCACTGTCACTCTTCCTCTTGTCACATGTTGATGAAATAAGTTCACTTCAGATCCTTGATATCTTCTAGATATCAGCTGATACAAAATCATGTGATGTAGTCTATGAGAGTTTGAACTTTATGTATCTTGGCAGATAAACCCCAGGAGCAGGTCATCTGCCTAGCACGGAATTGACTTTGGATGATCTTCTGAAAAAAACAGCACTAGCGAAATGCAGAGACAGGTTAGTTATACTTGCCAGTCGGAGTTATCGATAATTTTCTTGAGATCTTTGCAAATTTTAACTGTGCTAGGTCACAATGTTATATCTTTTACTATATATTTACCTTTATATTGCTTTCTATAGTATGCATGCTGGATTTCTTATATATCACAGAGGATTTTTTTTTTTTTTTTAAGTAAGGCTACCTGTTGTGTAAGATACAGATGTATTTTACATTTCTTCAACAGTAGCTAAACGAAAAGTACTAGTTAATTAGTATTGTGAAGTACATGTTCAGCAAAATAAAGATTTAGAAATTGTCAAGTGATTATCACTTCTCCTACTTGGATTAGGTAACTTTCTATGAGGGAAAGTGTCAGCTGGCAATTTTTGAAATTGATCCAAATTATTTCGAACCAGTTCAATGCAAAAAGTTTGTGGTATTTTTTCTTATTCAATAAAGGGTTAGTGCCGGATTAGTCTGGACACAAAAAAGATGATATAAATTCTTAGGCACAAGCCCAACTGCAATCGATTTGGGCCGAGTCAAATCCGTTCTAGCCTGGTCCACTCCTAACCAAGTCTTGTGGGCTTTTCTAACCGGGTCAAGATGCCCAAACAATTACTAATTCAACAAAATAGAAGCATATAGTGGTAACTAAACGCAGAGCTCTTGCTGAGGCTCACAAACGTATAGCTCGCGTTGATTGGATGATCGACTCTCTCGGAAGTGTGCTTGTTGTCGGGATCTCCTCCTTCGTCGAGCGGCATTCTTCTTAGCCTGTTTTAAGGCTTTTGCAGCGTCGCTGTCTGTGTTGATCGAGTTTGTCAATGCAATGAGCCTTTTGTGACCTGATACCCGTCGTCTTGGCGCGGGTGTGGAACCTTCAACTCGGTTGACAAGTTTGGTTGCGGCTGAGCCTACTCCTTCAGAGGAGAGGTTGTCCAAGAGATCTGGTCCAAAGGAGAGGACCTCCTTTGATGGTTTGGCAGCGGTTGGAGCTTTAGTCTCCTTTGAAACTTTGCAGATCTTGCGCATAGCCTTGGGGCTAAGGGGTCCGGAGGAGAGTAACTCATCATAATTGGCTTGATCAAACTCCACAACAAGAGTTACAACCGTTGTTCCAGCGAGGTTGACATCGGATTACGCCACCACGTATTCGTCTGTGAAGCTAGTCCCCAGCAGAGTCATCATCTTTTGTTTGGGAGAAATTGAAAGAGAGATTGCATTGAGAGCTATGCGTTTAGTTACCACTATCTACTTCTATTTTGTTAAATTTGTATTATTCTCTCTAACAAACTTGGAAAAAGAATGGATTACAGTTCTCTCAATGCAATTTCTCTAACAACTTAGAAAAAGAAATACAAATTCTTCTCGATCGGTTTCCCGATTTACAAAAGAGAGAAGGGATCGACGGAGACACTTGCCTTTTTTTAATTAGGGTTCTTCTCGGTGTCAATAGAATGCCTCCCTCGATGTTCATGTAGAGTTTACTTTTCGTTGATGATCCGAACGCTTCCCATCGTGGAATGTTGTCTTCGCCTCTTGACTCGAAGTCTTGGATGAACTTGCGTGGCAATTTTGAAACTCTTATTGAGTTAGGAAACTTTGAACGAGTTATAACTTTGTGGAAGAGTTGATCTAACCGAAATCGGTTTATAAGCCAAGAAAAAGCTCCAAAGCTCCAAGCTCTCTGTTGCCGATGAAGATGATCTCCAAGAGCCTCCAAATCTGAAGATCTAAAAAAAAGATCAAAGATCCCCTTTTTCTGTTCAAAAGAAGATCCGAACTCCACTGAGTTTTGCGGTATTTATAGAGGGGTTTTGGGTGTAACCTCCCCCTTAATTCGCTTCTTAATGGGGCTTAATTACCCCCATTAGTCGGGTGTAACAGCCTCCTTAAATCGCTCCCCAGATCGTGGGTAAAAAATGATTTTTGGAGCCGTTTGAATCACGTTTGAATGAATCTTGTGTTGTTGGGCGTGAATCCTGCGTTCGAACGCAGCATTTGGAAGCTGCGTTGGTAGCTGGATTTGAGCTATGCCTGCAACTGAATTTGAGCTGCGTTGGTGGTTGATAACGCAGTAGTTGCGTTGCTTTGACTCTGGAACGCGGGAATGACCTCCGCGTTTTGTTGTTGGGACACAGCCATGAACCCTGTGTTTTGGGTTGAAAACGCAGCAATGAGCTCTGCGTTTGGATCTGAAATGCATCGATGAACCCTGCGTTTTGGGTTTAAAACACAGCAATGTGTTAGACCCTAGAGGGGGGTGATTAGGGTCTTATGCTAATCTAATCCGATTTTATGCCAATTAAAACTAATTAACAAATTATTCTTACAAGAGAGATATACAATATATTACAAGCAAGAATAAGCAATATGAACAAAGGTAAATATCCTAGCAATGAGATATACTATGAGATATATGCAAGGATATATAATTAACACAAGGGAAAACAATCTAAACTAGATAGTGGACAATATAATCAACAAGCAATATACAAAGGCGATATAAGATATGAACATAAAAATAAGTGCGTCAATGCAATCACAAACAAACGATATGATTATGGAGTTCGGTCCCCACGACCTACGTCTCCGCTCCTCCTCGAGGAGATCTTCACTATCACAACCGGGTTTTCTACGTTTACCCGAACAACGTTACACCATACAATACGGTTTTCTAGTTTATCGAAAACTCTACAACTAACACACTCTTGTAATCCCACTCTACGTCCTCTCAAGTGTTGAACTAGACGTGTCTCCCTCAAGTGCTCGGATACAACCTCTCCCTAGGTTTGTCAACCGACACCACTCCTCTTGGGATGATCCCCGACTCTCGCCACACACTTCTCTCGGTGTACAAGTGTATTACAAAGTGTATCCTCACAATTAGGCTCAATACAATAAATGTTTGTTCTCTACTATAGATGAGAACACAATGAAAGCTCACACTCAATTGCTACAACTCTCACCAACCAAATATACTATGTATGAAAATACAATAAGCTCAAGTGTGTGTGTGTAGACAATGAGTGAAATAAAATCTAACTCAAATTTCAAACTAGCAATAATAAGAATATAAAAATCAATAATAAAATTGCTAGAGAAAAGAGTTAGAAAACTTCCCTATAAACTCAAAGGAGAGGATGAATAAGATTGAGAATGAATCCCTCAATTTGCAATGTAAGCTTCCTCCTTTGTAAACAAAAACCAAACTTAAAACAAACTGTAAAACCCTCTTAAACTTGTTTAAAACTTTATCCAATTCTTATAGGTAGAAGAGGGGTTGAGGGGTTTTTATAAGAAGAGAAACCAACAGCCAAAACCCTAAACAAAACAACAAAAATCCTAAAAAATCAGGAATATGATTCTGTACCTAATATAGTCGTTGGGCTATCGGCGGTCGACCATGAAATTCTTACGGTCGACCGCGAGGCACTTTTGAACCTGAGAAAACTTCCAGAGAGTTCGACAGTCGACCGTGACGATCGACCGTGGGAATTTTCAGCTTGACGGTCGACCGTCACGATTGACCATGAAAGTTTTTGCTGCCCACTCAGAGAAAAATATAAGCGCGGTCGATCGTGGCGGTCGACCGCAAACTGATACAAAATATTTCAGGTTTGAAAGTGAAATGCTGATTTTAAAACCCTATTTAAAAATATCAAATAAATTTCAAAAATTATGAAACTTTGAGAAATGATTGTAGGCATGATAATAAACATGCTACAAAAACTGGTTTTCAAAAAGGACTTCCCAAATAAAAAATATCATCATTTTACAAAATAGTCCAAAACATAAAAATGTGAACACATGAGTTTTGACATTTTCGCTTAATCATATTTTGAAACATTACAAAATAATTTTGTAGACTTAATAAAAGGTGTATATGATTATTGATAAGTCTATAAATCAAGAAAACAATATTTTCACAAATACAATAGAAAATGAAACATATGAGTATGTATATGAAAATATATGTGTTTCATATCTAAGTAGTTAAACCAAATCACAAAAATAAATATGAAATATGTAATTTCATATTTATAAACATGAAAGCCAAAACTTGTGTTATATATATATATATATGACTACATATATATACAAAGAAACCAATAAAATGTGTGTGTATATGATATTGAGCTTAACGTACTTAACACACATAATATAACACTTAAACTAAATTATCCAAGCTTGATCTTGATCTTCATTATAGCTCAACTTGGTAAACTTACGGATGAAGCTTGAACTTGGATCTCCAACTTGAATTGTATGGCTTCAACCACAATTCCTCCAACCTCCATTGTATATGATCGTGAAAGCTCTCTATTCCATCCATCCTCCGACTTGTTATTTGTCTAGAATAAATACGAAAACACAAACATTAGGCAAACAACATTAGAAGTAAATTGTTTGTTAAACATCATCAAAACAAGAAGGCCAACACAATGAGCTTTGTGTTTGGATCTGGAACGTAGCGATGAACCCTGCGTTTTGAGTCTGGGACGCGGCCACGAGCCTCAGGGGAGCTTCAGACGAGCTTCAAGCGAGCTTGGCGAGCTTCATGCGAAGTCCAATGTTCAGGCGAAGTCTAGTGTTGCAGACGGATTTCAGAACATAAATTGGGTTTGAGAGATATCTGCGTTTTAATTTGAAGAGACCGACAATTTGTAGTCTCTTTTGCTAGAGTGTTGTAAAGATCGTCATCTTGTAACCTTCGTCTTGGCTCCTTGAAAATATGAGAGTCATCAGATTGTAACTCCCGATGTTGATTGTGAATGCTGTTGATCAAAGCTTTCATCAGTTATTGTGAAGGTCGTTAGATTGTAACATTTATCAATCTATGTGAAAGTTTTCAAATTATAGCCTTGTGGAAGCCGTCAAATTATAACTTTTAAATTGTAACCTTCTGGAAGTCGTCAAATTATAGTCTTCTGGAAGCCTTCTGGATCAGCTATCTGTAGTAATTTTTAGACAGTCTACATAGACTTTGCATGAAATAACTACACAATCTTATTGATTTACGAGATTATAGGGTTATACGGCCAATTCCTGTTGAGAGAGTCACATAGAGATTATATGGATAATTAATCGGTTGTACAGCAACCGAAAATGTCTGAACTTTACGTTGTTATTAGGCCTTAT